GGGCCTCTAGTAGTCACATAATATTTCTATACATGCACAGTCTTTTTCCCCCCAAATCTCTGATAGCTCTCTCTCTCTCTCTCTCTCTCTCACACACACACACACACACACACACACACACACACACACACACTTTCTAAAAGAAATCTGCCCTGGTATCTTTCCTGGGACCAGGAGAATTCACAGAACCTGCCTTCCTACTCAGCACAGGCTGCCCAGCCAACCTCCCTCCACCACCAGCTTCTCATCCAGCGTCTCTCTCCTCCTCCATCCCCCTCCGCTCCCTCTTCTGGGCAGTGAAACCTCAGGACACCCAGTCAAGCACGGTCTCTCCTCCAAATAGAAATCTGCCCTGGTATCTTTCCTGGGACCAGGAGAATTCACAGAACCTGCCTTCCTACTCAGCACAGGCTGCCCAGCCAACCTCCCTCCACCACCAGCTTCTCATCCAGCGTCTCTCTCCTCCTCCATCCCCCTCCGCTCCCTCTTCTGGGCAGTGAAACCTCAGGACACCCAGTCAAGCACGGTCTCTCCTCCAAATCTGCTTCTCCTTCCAGCTCCATGGCAGAGAGTGACGCCTGCACCCGTCCCGCAGCCTGGGGCTCGGACACTGTGCCCTCCGCTTTCCCTCATCCCAACACCTAGGTGATGCGGAGCCTTGTTGATTTCATCACCTCCGTTGCTCTGTGTCCCTCCCTTCTACCTCTCCCCGTAGTCACAGGCCCGCCATTTCCCACCTTGACCACTGAAAAATCTCCTGCTGGCCTGTCCTTCCCCCCAAACTTCCGTCACTTGAATCACACCATCGCCACCAGCTGGCCTCATAGAACGTGATCTGACCGTGTGCTCCTTTGTACTGAGATCCTCACAGCTCTGCTTCCAGAGACAGTCCGCCCCTTCATGCAGCGTCCCAGGGCTCCACAGCCAACCTCTGAGGGCGATGCCTGCCTCCAGCATCATGGGCTCTTTTCTCTCCCCCAGCACAGCATTCATCACTCCGCTTATCTCCTTCCATCCCTGTCTTTGCTGTGCCCGGGCCCTGAAGGTGCTCCTTTACCCTCCATTGTCGTCCCCAGCGTGTGGCTGGGGCTGGGCTTGCTCACAGAGTGGTCCCTCTCTCCCAGGCACCCTGAAAGCCTTTTGAGAACAGGGAGTCAATTATTACTACCTCCACCCAAAACACCTGCACTTACATCCTCAGAAAAGAAGAAAATGAAGTAAAACAAACATTGTTAGTGTGCTGCTGCACGCCACACTCACGCTGCTGCGTCTTAGTGTTGAAAGACACAATAAAGGGGATCTAAGCCCATCTCTAAGCTGATGCATAAATTCCTCTCGCAAAGCTGTCTGGGTATGTATTAATGATTAACAAACCACCAGAAAATTGAGTGCTTTAGAGCAGCACCCATGTTCCTTGCTCATGAGTCTGTAGTTAATAATTCGAGCAGAGCTTGGCTGGGGGCCCTCTGCGCCACAGGGCGGGGGTCCAGAGCCAAAGAGGCTCCCTCCCATGTCCGGTGCCTCTTTCTGCCTCTCTCTCCGCTGCTGGCTGTGGCTTCCTTACCTACAGCCTGTGATCGAAGGCAGAGGGGCTTCTCGCAGGCAGCTTCTAAAGTGACCTTGCCAAAGGGGCAGAAGTCGAAGCTGCAGATCCCTGATCACCTCAAAAGCCACAGGGCCAGGTTCACAGATCAAAGCGCATGCTGCAGGTCCCCGCTGCCACGGGGCACCGGAGGGGAGAGACCCCAAAGGAGCACCACAAGGAACCGGCCGCCAGCCATACTTAATCCCCCGCAGAATCCTTTTCTGACGCTGTCAGCCGGTGCTTAACCACGTCCTGTGATGAAGAGCTCACCACGCACAAGGGGAGCGCATCTACAGACAACGCCAGCATTTGGGTCCCTCAGTGAACCTGAGGGGGGTCTGAGTTTACTAAACCCTCCATGAACCCTAACGCAGAATGGCCCACAATTTATCATCCCTCAGCACTGAGGTTCTGAAGGAGACCATTGATCACAAACATCTCTGCTGGAAACTCGGTCCCTCTGTGATCTCTTTGTACACTGGCCTCCGCAGCAGTGAGCCTCCCCAGCATATGAGGCTCAGCCCTCCTCTGGGAAGGGGGGGCAGGGATTGGAACAGGTCAGAGATATATAAAAAGTACCGGCTTTCTCCCCCAGCAGACTTAAGTAATCATATGCAATATAAGCTAAACCTCGCTCCACTGTGGGTTGGGTTTTAGATACTATTATGGCATTGTTGTTCAACAGGAGTGATAATGATTTCTGTGGCTGTGCAGGGAAGGTCCTTTCCTGGGCAATGCCTGCTGGAGGACGTAGGGTTTGACCAGGAGTAAGCAAACCAAGGCTCCCAGGCCAAGTTTCAATCTATTGTTTAAAAGGAAGTCTTATTGGACCAGCCACCCCCTTTGTTTACATGGTGTCTGGCTGCTTTTGTGCCTCAGTGGCCTGGTCTGGTCATTGTGACAGAGACAATATGGCTCACAAAGCCCAAAATTTACCACCTGGCTCTTTTTTTTAATATATTTTATTGATTTTTTATAGAGAGGAAGAGAGAGCGATAGAGAGTTAGAAACATCGATGAGAGAGAAACATCGATCACTTGCCTCCTGCATACCCCCTACTGGGGATGTGCCCGAAACCAAGGTACATGCCCTTGACCAGAATCAAACCTGGGACCCTTCAGTCTGCAGGCTGATGCTCTATCCACTGAGCCAACCCAGTTAGGGCTACCACCTGGCTCTTCATAGAAAATAGATTGCTCACCCCTGAATGAAAGTATGTTGTCTGCAACTTCCTTTTTAATTGTTCAGCAAAACAACAGCAACAAAAAACTGCATATATGCATGTGTGTGTGTGTATATATATATGTGTGTGTGTGTGTATGTGTGCGTGTGTGTGTTTCAGTTTTTCTTAATCTTATTTCACTACCATTTTTGAGATCATCTGAAAAGTGGCTGAAGTCTCACCTCCGAGGTGCCATCCTACTTACTGTGAGGCACTAAGTCCCAAGCTCAAGGTAGTCCAGTGGTCGGCAAACTCATTGGTCAACAGAGCCCAATATCAACAGTACGACGATTGAAATTCTTTTGAGAGCCAATTTTTTCAAACTTAAAACTATATAGGTAGGTACACTGTTATTAACTTAATTAGGGTACTCCTAAGGCTTAGGAAGAGCCAACTCAAGGGGCCAAAGAGCCGCAGTTTGCAGACCACGGTTATTTACATTAAGATTCATAACAGTAGCAAAATTACAGCTATGAAGTAGCAACGAAAATAATTTTATGGTTGGATCACAACATGAGGAACTGTATTTAAAGGGCCAGAAGGTTGAGAACCACTGACATAAGAGAATATTTAGTACATAAGCATACTGTGAATGTTTGGCCAATGCATTTGCAGGTGTTAATAAAAAACAAACAAAAAAACTTTATCAAAGACAAAAAGAAGCTTTGAGTAACAGGAAGAACATACCACATCCCTAAACAAGAAGAGTCAATGACTTAATATTGTGAAAATGTCCATCCTCCACAAATACAGCTATAAGGTTGATGCAATGCCAATGAAAATCATCAAGTGGCTTTTGTTGTTGGAGAGAGAAGAACAATGACAAAATCACTCAAATATATTTCTAGTAGGAAAAATGGGTATGATTAGCCAAGGTCATTTTGGAAATGAAGAATAATAAAAGTTTCTCACCATGACAATGTTAAGGTTTATTTTAAAACTACAATAACTAAGTAAGTAAATCTGGCTCAGGAATAATCAAAGAAGAACAATCCGGGAAGAGATGTATAAGAAGGAAGAATCAAGGCAGCAAGTCCATGAGAGGAGAGAGGGTGGGTTGCCTATTATACAAGGCTGGGACAATGGCTCACCACTTGGGAGAAAATGAAGTTAGAGCCCTATATCAAACCACACTCCAAGTGAAGGAAAATTAAGTGCAAAGAAAAAAATTCATGAAAGCGATAGAAAATAATGTATATCAGTATTTTAGAAGCTTGTGGTGGCACAGATCTTTCTAAGCATAAAACAAATAGTAAAAAGAAAAAGACTGATATAGTTAGCTGGTAAAAATTTCAATCTTCTGTGCATCTAAAAGGACTACAATCAAACATAAGAAAAAAACAACACAACACTAAGAAAAATATTTGCAACATAAATGATCTTGTGGGGGCACTGTCCTCACTATGGAATCATTCTGAGGAGGTTTTTTTGTTTGTTTGTTTTGTTTTGTTTTGTTTTTAATGGCCAAATGCCATTAATCTACACTTTACAAAATAGTATAATTGTTGGGATTCAGAATGATTATGATGTTCTTCTTTTTGCTTATATGCATTTTCTGAGTTTTTTACTGCCCCCAAAATGTATAATTTCTGTAGAAAAAAAAAATCTTCAGGCTACCTAAGCTTCTTATAGAGGACTAAAGCTCCTCTATCGGCTCCGAGCTCTCCCAGAATGAGTGGGCCTGTAAGCTTACCAACAGGCCAGAAATATACCTTCTTCATTTCCTTGAATCCTCCAAAAACCACAGCTGGGTGATGCTATTACCTAATATTAGAAACAAGGGAGTGAAGGCTCAGAGGGGTTCAGCAAGCTTCCCAAGGTCACACAGCAGTGAGCAGTAGAGTTAGAACTGCATCCCAGGTTGACCCGACCACAAACTTTGCTCTTTCCTGCCCTCATTTCAGGAATCTCGGTTTGGGAGGCAGCAGGCCTGAGTCCTGATCCTGGCTCTGTCCTTAACTACACATGGCCTTGGCAAGTCTCTTCCTGTTGACCCTCAGTTTTCTCCACTGTACAATGAGAAGTGGGTTGGCCCAACCGGTATGTCAAGTTCCTTCCTTCTCAGAGACAGGGCCGATTTCTGTTCTCATAAAGCAGAAATGACCAATCGCCAAGGACTGATCTAAACCAAGGACCAGTGTCCTGGGGGCTAACGCAGGTGGCCACTCACAGATGCCCCGCACACGGGCTCACCCTGAATTCTTCGTGAATGCGCTCCTCCAGGGCCTTGGCAGCCTTGCGGTCCTCCATCTCCACTTTCCACTTCTCCGCCATGATCCGGGCTTTCTCATTGGCCAGAGCATCCCGGAACTTCTTGGTGATCTCTGCCTCCTTCTGTCTCCTTCCAAGAGAACACCAGTAGGTATAAGCTCGTGTGGGAAACGGAAGGTCTACATAACAATGTTAGAGGCAGAAATAGAATAGTGGGACTAACTATAGTTATAAGAAATATTAATAATGTTCTGTTAGCTGTGTTCTGTTCTGATTAAAGAAAGTGCATTCTAACCTGCCTGGGAGTTGTACGCCCTGGGGCATGGGAGTTAACATCCAAATACAGTCCATTCTCCTTTTCCCAATACTGCCTACCATCATGGGAAGATTAACAACCTTGTTGCTGAAACAATCTGGTCCTGAATTAGCCCACTTTATGTGTTCTGTGTGGGGCGCAGCTGCAGTGTTTTGGCCAGGTTCAAGCCTCAGACTAATGAAAGGACCGGGTCCTCTCATTGCCACCTGCAAGTCCCAGCTGGAGGGCAGGGTCCTCCCAGCACAATTATAGCCAACGGCTGTGGTTGTAAGCTTGAACCTATGGTCCGAACACGTGGCCCCACGTGCCTTGTGATAGAGTTCAGGTGCATGTAGTTGAGTGAGGTTGAAACTCACGAGAATGCTGTAAACAACTTGATCACACCCCTACTTTGCCTCGTGGCATCTGCTATAAAATAAAGACACAGCTTGTGGGCGCTGGCACTGTCTCCTCATCAGGGAGCAGCATCCCACCAAGACCCAGCTTTCATTCTCTTGTCTGTCTTTTCTCAATCCTTTCACCCCTCCACTCAGGATCACCTTTGGCTGTAACAGTTCTGAGCATAAAGAATGGTGTACAACCTAGATGTCCATCAACAGGACCAGTAAGTTGGGTTTCTCATGAACTGAAAACATGTAACAGTTCTGAGCATAAAGAATGGTGTACAACCTAGATGTCCATCAACAGGACCAGTAAGTTGGGTTTCTCATGAACATCTGAAAACACTCTGTAGTAATCTTCTATATAATAAAAGGCTAATATGCAAATCATCTGAATGGCAGAATGATCAGTCACTATGATGAGCACTAACCACCAGGAGGCAGATGCTCAATGCAGGAGCTGCCCCCTGGTGGTCAGTGTGCTCCCACAGCGGGAGTGCCGCTCATCCAGAAGCCAGGCTCACGGCTGGCAAGCATAGTGACAGTGGTGGGAGCCTCTCCTGCCTCCGCAGCAGTCAGACATTCCCCAACTGCTGGGGGCGCAGGCCTGGCTGAAGGACACCCCCCACCACCACCACGTGCACGAATTTCGTGCACCGGACCTCTAGTCTTAAATAATGCTATGAATCTATACTAATCAATTTATCTGTGTGTTAATAAAGCCATGTACAGAGCATGTACAGACAGTCCCCAACTACTGGTGGTTTGATGATTATTTTGTTTTTACAATAGTGCCAAAGCAATACACATTCAGTAGAAACAGTACCTTGAATTTTGAATTTTGCTCTTTTCCTGGGCTATGATATGCTGTAAGATACTCTCTGGAGAGCCACAGCTCTCAGATCACAGGGTCAACAACCCACACTAGTGTATGCATTGTGTTGGGTGACTTTGCCAACTGTGGGCTAATGTAAGTGTTCTGAGCACGCTTAAGGTGGGCTAGGCTAAGCTGTGTGTTCAGTACATTTGGTGCAGCAAAGGCATTTTCAACTTCCGATATTGTCCATTCATGCTGGGTACATCAGGACAAAGCCCCATCGTAAGTCAGGAGCACCTGTTGCTTACATGCCCACTGTCATTACCTTAGGTGGCAGGTGCTGGGTTGTTGTTAACAATTTTACAGTTAAAACTCTGTCACGATGCCCAACCGGTGTAGCTCAGCAGTTGAGCGATGGTCAGGGCACATGCCCGGGTTGCAGGCTCGATTCCCTATGGGGGAGGTGCAGGAGGCAGCCAATTAATGATGTTTCTCTCTCAATCAATGTTTCTGTCTCTCGATCCCTCTCCCTTCCTCTCTCTCTAAAAAATTTAAAAAAAAAAAAACATTAAAAAAATGAAATAAAATGAAGATGAGGAAACTGAAGCATAAAAAGGTTAAAAACAAAAAACAATGTCACTAATAATTGGGTGGTGGGGGGAGGGGATGTTCGCATCCAAAAAGATGTTAAAAGTTGTTTATAAAAGAATTCTGATTCCAAATCTCACTGGGGACTCAAATGTCCATGAAAGAAAAACAAGCAGATAACAAAAGTGAATCTAAACTGCCTACTGTCCCAGGAACCACTCAGTGAGAGGAAAAGCAAAAGCATGCCGTATGCATTGTCTCACTGAATCCAAATAGAAGCAGTGTTGTTATACCCATACCTCAGTGTGAAAACTGAGGCCCCAAATAGCTCACTTCTAATTGATGGAGCCAGGATTTGAATCCATAAGGTCTGTCTGAAGCAAGACTTTGATGGTTTGGTCACCTAACAGCCAGCCAACTGCCTGGCACCTCCTCCCTCTGACCCGTAACCACTGGTTCTTATCTGGGACCCACCCCAAGGCTCTGAGTTCAGGCCCCACACGACACCCATTGGCACCTCTCACCAGAGCGCCTCGGCCTCCCTCTGTGCCTGCAGCCGTGCCTTCTCTGCAATCAGCTCCTCAGAGATCTCTTCATAGGGCTTGTCGCCGGGGCCTTCTCCCATGACCCAGACCCAGACCTCGCCATCTTCCCCCAGCAGCCACTGGATGTGCTTGTCACTCGCTGCTTCACAACATAAGGAGGAACAAGAAAGCAAGAAGAACGGATCTGAGTTCTAAGTAGTAAGAAAGGGCCTAGTTTCGCCAATGGTACATAACCACTCTATAGTACTGTCATCAACAAAGAGGATTCCAGAGAGACACGGGCCTGGGTGCAGGTCCATGGCCATCTCTCCCTCCCACTCCCTCTGGGGAGCAACACAGCAGCCAAGTCAGCCTGCTGAAGCGGGTGTCTAAGTCTGGGGCTGTGTCTGAGGCTGAGCGCCCTGACATCTTCAGCAGAGAGAACATCAGCGACAGTGCAGCACCCCCTGAAGGAAGTGACTGTGCCACCCGTGGACCAAGGCAGTTAGGGGCCAGTGAGCCTTCTCCTCTGTCCTCTCCCCCCTCTCTCTCCCAGCACCCCTCCTGTCCACTGGCTGAAAATAAGGAATTGGAGATGGTGGTGTTGCAAGGTGAAGCAGCTAAGCCTTTTGTCTCCCTGACCCACATCCACCTGTAACATGAGCAAGAACAAAACCTATGTCTCATTAAGCTACTGAGATTTTTCAGTTTTCCTATTGCAACAGATCCTATTGATTACCACGACTAAAATGGAAATCTATCCCAAAACTGGGTACCCCTGAGACAGAAACAGAAACTACGGGTCATTACCTAAGTAGCTGGGTGTCTGGTGATGTTTAGCAGGCTAAATGGCTGGTGAGCCATGTTATGCAGGAGCAAAACATTGGGTGAAGTTGGTGGGCACTGTAATGTAAAAGGCAGACCCTCCTGCCTTCTGAACGCATCACTCTGAGGGGAGAGACTGGAGAATAGGAAATCGGTAGTGTGTGTTGGTTGCCAGTGGGAAGGTGTTAAGAGAAAGAAACTAGTTCGAGAAAAAATTGAATGCTTTGCAAGTGGAAATGAAAGGAAATAGAGAGAATACAGAAATTTGGGACTTTGTAAGATGGGGAAAACCACCTCCTTCTAGGGCCCGAACTCAAGAGTTGGGGCTTTTAAAGGTCTTGTGTGACAGCCCCGTAAAACCTGTCAGGTGAATAAAGCGAGCTGGGCACAGAGCCTGTGGCACCCATGAGAATGTACCCAGACACCAACCAGGGGGCACAATGCAGCCAGCACTCCAGTTCCCGTGCTCTCGTGTCTGCCCAAGGCCAGGCTCACAGAGGCAGGGCCCAGCCTTTGACTGAGCACGGCAGGCTTATTCCTGGGAGACAGCAGACTCCTCTGGTGGGCAACTCCCATGAGGCCTTGACAGAACTTCCTTGGATTGCACATCTGCCCAGAACACCTCCACCCAACCTGACTCTCTATCTCCTTCACTCAGCCAACCTCCTCCAGCTCCCAGCCCTTCCTCACCCACAGGCATTTCCTCAGTAAAATCCCTGAGTGTTTAATCCCATCCTTGTCTCTGCTCTGCAGAGGAGCCAGGCTAACACGAGCACATTAAGAGGGGGTCAAAGGCACCGAAACCGGTTTGGCTCAGTGGATAGAGCGTCGGCCTGCGGACTGAAAGGTCCCGGGTTCGATTCCGGTCAAGGGCACATACCTTGGTTGCGGGCACATCCCTAGTGGGGAGTGTGCAGGAAGCAGCTGGTCGATGTTTCTCTCTCATCGATATTTCTAACTCTCTATCTCTCTCCTTTCCTCTCTGTAAGAAAAACTCAATAAAATATATTTTAAAAAAAAAGAGGGGGTCAAAGGGGAGAGGGGGAGAAGAGACATGTGTAATACTTTGAACAATAAAGATACATTTTTTAAAAAAAGAAAATGCCATTTTCTCACACTTACTTTTACAAAGAGCCCAAGACAGGTATCTAGTTCAGCGGCCGCCAACCTTTCGCACCTCACGGACCACAGTGGTCCACGGACCACCGGTTGGCGACCGCTGCTCTAGTTGAAAGGGAGAGGCATAGAGGTGAAGAGGCAAAGAAGTACAGACAACCTGTGAAACATCTAAAAACAAATGGTTGATGTGTTTGCTGGGGCATCGAAGCAAGGACAAAGCAGCCTGTGAGGCAGAACAGCCAACAGAAAACGCTACCCCAGAAGCCAGGGGGCGACAGAATTCAGGAATTAGGAGAGACCAGCTGTGTCACAGGCTGCTGACGGTGGATGGGTAAGACTGAGAACTGACCACTGATTCAGCAACATGGAGGTCATGGTGATCTTGATAAGAGTGGGCTCGTGAATTTGTGGAAAGGGATGCTTGGAAACTGGAAACTTGTAGAAGAAAATATAAAAGCATATCCCTATAACTTTGTGGAAGGGAAGAATTTCTTCTGCAAGACATAAAAAGAATAAACTGCAAGAGACTGTTGATAAATTTGAATACAGATTGAAGTTTAAAATTTCTATACAAGAAAACACACCATGGAGACAATTAAAATTCAGCAAATGAGAGAGTCACGGTTCTTCTTGGTCAGGGCACATACCTAGGTTGCGGGCTTGATCCCCAGTGTGGGGCGTGCAGAAGGCATCTGATCGATGATTTTCTCTCATCATTGTTGTTTCTATCTTTCTCTCTCTCCCTTCCTCTCTGAATCAATAATAATATATTTTTTAAAAGATGAAAGAGACAAATTTAACAAAATGTGTTGTCTCATCACAAAAACATTTGCTGAGGGAAAGTGAAGACATATTAATGCAGCTGAGGTTCTCAGTCTCTACAATTATGTGAGCCAATTCCTTAAAATAGAGAGATGATAGATTGATAATAGATAGATAATAGGTTGGTAGGTAGATAGATAATAGATAGATAGATGATAGGTAATAGATGATGATGATGATGATGATAGATAGATAGATAGATAGATAGATAATAGATAGATAATAGATAGATAGATAGATAATAGATAGATAGATAGATAGATAGATAGATAGATAGATAGATAGAATCTCCTAAGGGACCAGCCACTTCCAATGTAATGGTGCCTCCCAGTGAATCCTGCAGGGAGTGGCTGCCCAGCAGCTGTTGTGTTCTCTTAGCTAGGTGCCTTTTGTTTTAAGTGGTGAGCCTTGTGGAGGTAGGAAGGGGGAGAACTCAACTAGGCACGTGATAAATGTGCTTATGTTTATCGGGTTCATTCAACATACCAGGTTTAACGAGACCATCTCATTTCATCTTCCCCACAAATCTGAGATAAGGTCTCTCGTCATCTCCAATCTACAAAAGAGGAAACTGAGGCTCAGGGAGGCTTGAGTAACTTGCTGACCTCAAATTAACTAATGGAAAATAGGAAGAGGGCAGAGCCAACATGTGAACTCAGGCGCTCTGGCCACTGCACAACTGCCTCTTGCACAAAGGATGTAACGGCCAGCATGGTGTGGGCGTAAGAGTCATTGTCAAGAACGCCAGGCTGTTTCCTGTTGTACTCAGAACCACTCGCTGAGAGTCAGCAACACAGACACCAGGTCCATCAGTGACGTTAACCATCCTCCCCTCACTCCCTCCAACCTTGTGACTGTGCAATGGCTCCTGAAATAGCTCCCCAAGTTCAAGGCCACGTCTCTTGCAGAAGCCTTGCCTCTCTTGCGTGTAGAACAAGGGGCAAACCCAAGATCTTCCGCCAGGCCATACACCCCATGTGTGCTGGCACTCGTTGCAGTGATCACTGGGAAATCCTGAGTGCCCTGCCTCCAACCCAGTTCCCTTCAGTCCTGAGACACCGCAGAATCAATGTCCAGTGAGAGTCTCTGGACCCAGGCTTACTGCTATCCTTCCCAGCTCGGTTTTCTCCTCTGGAACAACGTCTCACAACTTAGCCAATAAAATGAAAGGGCTGCACATGTATTGGGGCAGGGACAGACCTCCTAATTCTTTAGCATTTCAGAGTCTGGGTGTGAGAACCCAACCAGGGTGACCAAAAGATAAGCACTTCATTGAAATGAGAGGGTAAACATTAAAAACCCTGAGACCTAAAAACGTGTAATTTTGTAAGGACTGGGGTAATAAGTGTGAAAATGCACCCAAAGAATTTAGAACCCCAGGTCTAACACAAAATCTGGTTCCAACTGGGAAAACCCTAAGAAGCTTTGCTAATTTTTACGTGAGAAAAACCTGGAAAGCAGTCATGCTGGCCACTGGGAGGGACAGCCTGGGGACAAGCAGCGGCCGGTAACCTGCTACTTCTCAGCCCAGCTACTCTGAGCAGCAGCTGGACTGGAACCTGGGGTCAGGTTACAGGGAGTCAGGAGATAACCAGCAGGTAGCCTTTCTCAGAAACTGCCCTGCAGACGCCCAGCAGGAAGGGGAAGCAGGGAGGTGGCAGCCATCAGCCCCTGAGGCAGGGGAGAGAAATGAACCCTGGCCTGCTCAGCCCAGCATCCCCCCCGGGGCCCTGCACCCAGCAGAAGAGCAGCTTCCCTCCATCCAGAGCTGAGCAAAACTCACTCTGTTCAGTCCCAGGGCTTTTGGCAGCCCAGCTGCCAGGACAAAGTCGGGGAGGCGGGCAGGAGGAGGAGAGGGCACTGTATACACTGAAACTCAAGTTCTCTGCAGGCCACTAGCCACTGAACAGGCGTATGGCCCCAGGCACTGGACTATGTCTACCCCATCCCTGTGCCCCAGCTATTATGTTCTTCATCAACATTACTACTATTAAACCTTTTAAACTTTTGCCAATCTCGCTGTTTAATTTGCACTGATGCCGTTTTACTAGTGAGGTCGAACGCCTTCCCATGTGGTCATTGTGATTTCAAATTTCACTCCTGTGAACTCCTCCTTCATCTCCTTTCCCATGGGCCACTGGCCGCTGAACAGGCGTATGGCCCCAGGCACTGGCCTGTGTCTACCCCATCCCTGTGCCCAAGCTCTTATGTTCCTCATCAACATTACTACTATTAAACCTTTTAAGCTTTTGCCAATCTCGCTGTTTAATTTGCATTGATGCCGTTTACTAGTGAGGTTGAACGCCTTCCCACGTGGTCATTGTGATTTGAAATTTCACCCTTGTGAACTCCTCCTTCATCTCCTTTCCCATTTTTCTGTTGTTTACCTTTTGC